GTGGCCCTGCATGTGGCAGGGGGTTGGAGATTCATGATCCTTGAGGTCCCTTCCAACCCTGGCCATTCTGTGATTCTGTGAGGTCGTGATGAGGTGGAAGTAGGCCTCTGCTACAAGGTAACAGTGATAGGATGAGAAGGAATAGCCTCAAATTGCACGAGGGGAGGTTCAGGTTGGATATGAGGAAAGATTTATTCTCCGTAAGAGCGGTGCTGCGGTGGCACAGGCTGCCCAGGCAGGTGGTGCAGTCACCATCCCCGGAGATATTCCAGAACCGTGTGGATGTGGCACTGAGGACATGGTCAGTGGGCATGGTGGGGGTGGGCTGGCGGTTGGGCTGGATCATTTATGCCTTTCCGACCTAAATGTGTCTGCGATCCTACTCAAAACTAAAGGCGGAACCACATCCCCAAACACGCTCCGCATTGAAGCCACTCCCTGCCCCCACCCCCAGGCGGTGGCTCAGCACAGGCACGCCGCAGACACCCCACGCCGCGCGGCCCCAAGCCCCCTCCGCCAATAGGGTGAGGCGGGCGGCGCGCTGACAGCCAATGGGCGGCAGGGAGGCGGGGCTTCCGGTGGCGGTTGCTAAGACAGCCGGGGCTCTTCCTTAGCAACCGGTGCGGGCCGCGGCGGCGGCGTAGGTGAGGCCGCGCTCCTCTCTCGGCCCTCTTTTCCTCCCTCCCGGCGCAGCTCTTCGGGCTCTGGAGCCACGCGGCCGGTGCTGTGGCGTGCTTTACCGAGCCGCCCCAGCCAGGCTGCCCTCAGACCAAGTGGGAGGGGAGGCACCTCGCTGTGAGCGAGAGAGCCGGGGCAGGCCGCAGGGGAAGGCTCGGAGTTGGCTGGGCTGCCGTGCCCAGGCTGTGGTTGGCTGATTTGCCTGAAGCAGCGGCCTGGTGCTTTCCTGCACGGGAATCCCCAGCTGACAGATACCTTGGGGGTGAGAATAGCGAGTGCCCCAACGAGGGCTGAGGTGTTCTGTTGAACACCGGATCCTGTTCCTCAAATACACGTGCACTTTGTGGTGTACCAGACTGGTCATGGTTGATGCCCTCTCGTTGCTTGTGGGAAGCGTTGCCCTGACTTGGCACGTCCCTCAAACTGGGCTGGTGCTTCTGGGAAATGCTGCCATCCTGAAGTCTCACTTATGGGAAATGATACGTTTTTAAAATTTGTTTGCATTAATGTGTTGTGTGACAGCTCTCTGATTGCATGGGGTGTGAAGAAGTTACTGTGATACAGCGAGTAAGTGGAGGTAGGAACAGCATTTTTGTAATAGTTTTCGCCTTCCATTTTAATGCAAAGCTTTCTTCTTGTCTCCTATTTGTTGTTTGTTTGTTTCTGTTTAAGCGGTGTCCTCTGGGCTGGGAAGCTTCCCCTTCTGCTGATCCTCAGAGGCACACTCCCTGAGCCATCTGCACTGCAGGGCCTTGCTGATCTCCATCTCAGACCCCTGCCCCTTCACGGGGTCACTGGGGAAAGACCATGGCCGACACTGGGGAGGGGAAGAAGGAGGAAGCTGATTATAAAAGACTGCACAGCTTTCCACTGATTAGGGTAAGAAGGAAAATGAGTTATGTCTTTAGCAGTGTTACAGATATGCAGTGCTACCTTTGTTCTTCCCTACCTTCCAAAATAAGATTTCTTCCACTGACAGCTGCTGTGAGAGCTGTGCTGTACCCTAGCTGTTCCTTGATTCAGGACTGATTCAGTCACCACCATTTCTTCTGCCTGTCCATCAGGCAAGGAAATCAGTCAGCTAGGGGAGCGTGGCACAAAGCAATCATCTGATGTTCCACACATGCCACTTTTGGAGCCCTCTGCTCATGTTGCTAGACACAACTTATTTTTATTCTGTTTAGAGGAGCAGAAATAAATGATCTTAGCCAGCTAGATAGCAGAAAAGACTGTGTAATTTAGACTTCTGTTATGCTTATAGCCATAATTAAGGACGGTTGAAACAGTGCTGTCTTTCTCTTCATTTTAGCACTGAAAAACTATTTATCTCCTCCGTTAAGCTATGCTTATTTTTATGCTAGTCTTAAATTTGGAAGAGAACAATTTTGCATGGACTGGGACAAAGGAAAGAATGGGCAGTCAGTACAGTAATAAGCCATTTTCATATTAATCATTCTAATGCTAACAAGCCTGTATCGCTGATGATGTTCTGCTTTAAGCTAACATTGAACGTCACGTGGAGTAGCTGCCTTGTGTCCGTGCCAGCAGTCTGGGCTCTGTGACAGCGTGGGCAACATAAGGGCTGTTTTCTGTTGTCTTCTGTCTAGCCTTTCTTTTTCTGCTCAGTTCCTCTTTCTTGTTTGCTCTTTGCAGCACACAGACATGCCAGAGGAGATGCGCGTAGAGGCCATGGAGCTGTGTGTCACAGCGTGTGAGAAATATGCCACGAACAATGAGGTATGAGCTGAATCCATCAGGCCAACCTTTCGTTGCTGCAGCTCAAGGAATCTGCAGGAGCAGGGCTGGAGCTGTAGGGCACAGCAGAATCACATACTGACAGATTACTCAGTTTCTGTTCTGGGCAAGGGCAGAAAGAGACAGCTTGGCTAGATCTCAGATTTAGTTGCTTTTGTGAGTGAGATCTGTACTAGCTGTTTGCTTTCATGCAGGAAGCAAAGATGAGTCACAGAGCGATGCCGCCTCACAAACCTTATCTCCTTCCTTCTCTGTGAGCTTCCTCTCTGTTCATAAAATGTCCTGTCTGTCCTGAGGGCCTGTCCCAAAATGTGGGTCCATCTGTCAGCGTTGAGCAAGATCATCCCCATCAGGGCAGGGAGGAGACTCTTATTTTGGAAACGAGCAAATTAAGCTCTTCGAACCTTTAGGTACAGTCTGTTCAGTCTTCCCTGTCAGCTTTCAGCCTCTTGAATGAAATTACTGAGAACGTGTAGATGGGGTGTGATGGAGGAGTTACAGTCTTTTGAAATATTACCCTCATCTTTGAGGTAGAAAGATGAATGAAACACACTTGCTCAATGGGCAGGGCACAGATTGCTTGTGCTAGAGGAGCTCTGTGCTGGTGAGGCAAAGCTACAGAGCAGGAGATTCCTTCTGTCCCCTCATGCCTGAGACAACAAGTGTCACTGCAAAATCTTCTGTTCTTTTCTAGACCTAACAGGGTGTGATCTTAGAGAAGCAAGCCTTCTAAAAGTCAGCCTAGTTTCATTGTTTTGGTAATTAGCTGGAAAAATATATATATAAATGGACTCATGTAAAAATAGCTGCAGCTTAGTGACCTGAATCTCCTACCATGCTCAGCATGCCCAGCATAACTCCACCACCATCAAAAACAGCTCTTGCTTCTCTCTCAGACTGTGTGAATGAGAAAAATGCCTGCTAGATGTAGTTGTTTAATTTCTCCTAGCTGCTGTGTTGGAGGCTGCTGCAAACAGTAAGCTGCTTTAGCCTTTGGCACAGCCCTGAGGAGCTTCCAGTTTGCTCAGTGCAGCTGTATACCTGTTGCCTTGGCTTGAGTACTTTATTAGAGAGGAATAGCAGGGGGTTGTTTGCACGGAAACTTGCTGCTTGCTCTGTCTCACCCTACACTTTCCTTCGTTCTCCAGAGTGCTGCCAAGATGATCAAAGAGATGATGGACAAGAAATTTGGATCTTCCTGGCACGTTGTGATTGGTGAAGGGTTTGGCTTTGAGATCACTCACGAGGTGAAGAATCTGCTGTACATGTTCTTTGGTGGCAGCCTGGCTGTGTGTGTCTGGAAGTGCTCCTGACATCTGGCTGGCTCGCAGACTCGCTGCATACAGGAGATTTCTTCCTTCACAGATTTTGTACAATGTGGAGGTGGGGCTTTATTTTTAATAGTTAAAACATCGAGATTTCTTTCCATACTGACGTAACAGTTCTATGGGATGTGTATATTTGGGGGGGTGTGTGTGTGTGTAACTTGCTAAGCCTGTCCTCGCTCATGGGATTTCTGATCTGTCTGTGGCTCTTTCTTTGGTGTTTGAGTTTAAACAAGAAGGAGGTGTTTAAATAGGTAATCTCATGACACACCATGCAGCAGCACTATGAAGGCGAAGAGGAGGAGAAAAGGTGCTATCTAGTCCTAAGTTTTCTCCTCCCACTTGTTCTACATTGTGTCCTCTCTTCTCTGCCTCCCTGGCTATGTGTGGTATGGTTCTGACCAGTGCCTCTTTCCTCCCTATTAACAGCCCCACCTTCCTGTCTTCTAAATGACCACGCAGAGCTGGCTGCGTCAAGGGTGTCCCTTTGGGTTGTCCGTGGAGGTGTTAGCTGTGGGGAATTAGGCTTGTTTTACCCTTTTCTGCTTGATTTGGGAGGACAGCTGAGCTGCCTGGATGTAGGAGGCTGCTATGCAAGCTACCCCCTCCTTTCTCACCCACTGCATGCTGAGATGGCACTGAAACACAGGCGGCTGTCGATGCCTGGGGAGTGGGTGAGAACTCTTCGTACAGCTTGAAAGCCTCCCTGTCAGTTCCTGGGGGTGTTGCAAGTGCTGTGTACTTTCAGCATCTTGTTTGGAGGCTGGTAGGGGAAGGAGGTGCCATGTGAGATATCACTTGGTCATCAGAAACCTAACGTCCTTTTGGACTTGCTTTTTTAGCCTGTTTCTTCTTTTGAAGCTGTCAGTGTTGGAGGATGGAGTGAACGTAATTGTATGTTACGTATATGGCTTATTTATATAAATCTGGGGAACTGTGTTTTTTACAATAAAAAAAATAGTAAATTGTCCTTTTCTGTGTTTGTTCTAAAATAAAAACCCAATGGTGGTGGATGAAAAAGAGAAGCAGTTCAGGAAACATGGAAGTAAGCAAGGAATGATGTGGCTCAGGCAACAGCTGATGGTGGATACACACCCTGCTTCCTTCCTGGGTGACTCCAAGGGAGCAGAGAAGCACTCTCATCCTTCCCATTCAATTCCTTTTGCTGCTGCAAGCCTGCTGAGGAAGGCTACCACGTCCATGGTGTTGCTGACCCAGGTCCTCTGTGTGAGTAGCATCAAGGGGGCGTACTTGCATCCTCTGCCCAGCCAGCATGCATCTGCTCTGACCTTTGGGGTCTGGCATTTGTGACTTCTATGGTTTTTCAGACTTTGCTCTGAGGAAAGCCACCAACAGTGCCACTGGCAGCTCATGTTTTATGAGGCCATACTCGAGTACGTAGTTCAATTCCAAAGGACTTTTCTGCACTAGGGCTTGCAGTGGATCAATTGTGAAGGGTTTTCCATTTCCCTTAGTTCCTTCTGTGGATCTCAGTGTTATGATAGAGATGTCTTTCTGCCGTTTCAGCATGTCAGGAATTGGAGTAATATAAGTCCACTAGAAATGATTCTGATTTTGCACCATCTGTGCTGGCTGGACCCCACATCCTGTCACGTAATTCTTTACTGATCAAGTGAAAGGGACTTGTAAGGTAGTGGGGAGGACACAAAACTGGTACCATGTCTGCCAGGTGCTGGGATCATTGTGCAGTCTGGAAGACTCCAAACCCATGAGCTTCCTGTTGGTGTGATTACTCTGTCTCGCTTCAGCTGGCTGACTTTTAAATGAAAATAGCACTGTTGACTGGCACTTGCTGCAGCTGGCAGGTGGAAAAGCTGGTTTTCTGTTCCAAGACTTTCCACCTCCTTTATGTTTTATGTCTGGATGCACATCCAGAAGAAAAGGTAAAGTCACCATCTTTGGAATGCCCTGTGCTCGCTGGAGCATAGTGATACCTTCAGCCATACCACAGTCTCCTTAATTGTCCTTCTTTCACACTAATGAATAATTAACTGCTGTGTGCATGTCCACAGGCAGGCTGGTCATGGGCATCTCTGTGGGGTCATGCTGACCTGCAGATATTCATAGGGAGAGGGAGCTGCTTACCTCAGCATGCAATCTCTTGGCCTTGCTACCAGCCTGTTATCACTTTGGCTACCAGCTGACCGAAGCTAATGTCTCTGTGACCTGCATTTGCAATAGGCAAACACTGACCAGTCCCCAGCATCCTCAGAGCACGAGCACACAAACAAATTGAGGTGAGCTGGGTGTGAATTTGCAGCAAGTCAGCTCCTACACTGCGACTCCCGCAAGGTAGGCAAGTGGAAGGTGGCTCACAGGAGAGTGCCAGGCTATTTTTGTTTCCAAGGGCAACAGCTCTCCCACAGGAACTTACCACAAAAAGCCACCCCATTTTTGAATGCCTGTTATATGTGAAAGCATAAACCTCAACTTTCCAAAATTCAGCTGTTTGCGTCAAGGCCCCCAAGCAAGTATTTGGTAGGCTCAGCTTTCCTGCTTGTTGCAAGTTGAGTCACGTTGCACTGGCTCCTGTGTGCTACAAGAAACTCCCACCCTCTTTTTGCTGTGGAACTAGAGCACAGTTTGGGGCTTTTGCTATGGAACTCGAGCACTTTGAGGCATGCCTGTAATTCACATGGCAGTAAGGTTCATGGATTGGAGATGGTCTCATTCCATGTTATCCTGCAAGTAACCACTCTGCCTCCGATGCTTTGGAGCCTACAAATGCTTTTGACTCTGAAACTGCCATCTCTTGCTGGAGGTTTTTTACCTTAAAAGTTTTTTAGCAGAAATCTGGGGAGGTTGGCACTGAACTATTCTATTCTAACTATTGTTTTTCCTCTCCCCATTGTGTCTTGCCACCTGGGTGTCGCTGCTATTGCCGTCAAAGCACCGAAGTGAGTCAGAGGTGGAAAAGGAGTTGAAAAGCTCAGGGTGATACATCGGTGCCAGTCAGAATGACCCTTTCTATCCGTCCATCCCAGCAAGCCAGTGTGCAGCGGCAGCAGCTCAGAGGGCTGTGCTCATGACTTCATCCCTCCCTGCCGAGGGGAGATGAGGAGCATCGTTATCGGCTGTCGGCCTGCGTGGCGGGGAGTCCGCGCTCTGTGCCAGCAATGGAAATGTCCTTGGGCGTAGGGCTCCTCCTGCATCCCAAAGGTGACTGGGCCCTGCTGAGAAGGGGTGAAGAAGCTGGAAAAATGGAGGAAAGAGGTGCAAATTCAATCGCTTCTCTGTGGTGATGTCATGGCAACGAGGTGCGCTGATGTGCTGTCAGGCAATCAGGGCAGGCTTTGAAGCTCCCCAGCTCTTCCCCGTTGCTGTAGGCTCGCGTCTGGCTTTCTGAAAAATCTTTTGGTTAATATTTAATGCCAGCGTTGAAGTGCAAAGTGTGGCGAGCACCCCACCTATTCCCCTTTCCTCTACATTCCAATTTGATGCTAAATTAGAGTTGGGGAGGAGGGAGGATTATGATTTACCATAGCATGGGAACAGGTCTCCTGATGAGAAGGATGGCTTCAACCCATAGTGAGGAAAAAAAGCTGCAGGCTCTGTGCTGGTGTCCCTGTGTGTGCAGCAGCCCTGATAGCTCAGCAGGAGGGAGCTAACTACATCACAGACCTGTCCCAGTCTGGCTCTGGGATGTGGGAAGGATGCCTTTGTCACCCTCCCTAGCCAAGTTTGGAGCTGATGCTGGGCCACTGGAAGGAGCAGGGGGTCTCCCTCTCCCTTTGCTCTCCCAGAGCTGGCTTTGGAATAAAGGAATCCATGGCCCCTCTCCCAGAGCTGAGCCCCACTCCTTTGATGCAAGTAGTTAGCACATGTTTTTATTGGCTTTTTTTTTTTTTTCTTTCCACTAAGCAATGACCTAACGATCCTGTGTTCCAACCACAGCCCCTCCTAAGCTCCTTCTTTCCAAAACGTGCATCCAGACCGGATCCAGCAAATCTCCCAGTGCAAGACGCCGTGTTCCCTTCCTCAAGGAAGCCATCTGCTCCCCTCTGCCCGGCTCCTTCTGCATGGCTTGCAGCTCGCCAGCCCTGTGGGAAGCTCTGCTCCTGTCGGCCATGCTGTTTGTGCGTGGCAGGGGGAAGGAAACACGGTGCTGGCTGGATCTGGGGCTGCTGGCAATGTCAGCTGGAGGCGGTTTCCAAGCAACTGTTGTGCTGCAGGACACGGAGAGCCAGGAACACCATATTCCTGCTGTCCGTGTGGGCTGGACGGAGCCAGCACGGGGCTGGTGTGGAGAGCAGCACGAGTGAGAGAGTAGTATAGGGCCGTGGCACTGGAGGAGGTCTCCAGACCTGCTCCTTATCTAACTGCCTCCAGCAAGGGGACAGCATGATGTATGGGATTTCACGTGTCCTCTGCATTTTTGGGGAGATTAAAAAGGGTAAAATTGCTCCAGCTGCTGTTTTATCCTATTTATTTTACCCACTGATGGGCAGTTGCATACGAGCATCCTTGAATAGATGGAGAGGTGGTAACATTGCCCTGGCTGAGCAGTGGGAGCAAAACTGGATGGCGAGTGCGTGGATATAAGCACAGTGGGAGCCCAGCAGATAGGATGGAGCAGGGGAGGGGGGGCAGAAGTATGCAAACAAGGAGTGAAAGCAAGGGGAGCTGGGCAGGAAGAAGCCCAGAGAGATGGGACAGTGCAGGGCATCTGTTTGATTGCCAGTGTGCAGGTTATCTGTGACCGTCTCTGTCCCCGACCCACCTGCAGCTATTGATTTGGAACTTGCCCTGTTCATGCTAACCTTGGCACTGCTAGCTCGTCCCTTATAAATCCTGCTGCAGCTCCTACCCCTCTCTCTGTCCTGCCACCAGGGTCTTCCCACAGCTCTGCTTTTTGCTGCGATGTTTTAGATGCAGGACGACTCTCCCTGATTTCTGCCTGGAGGAGAGACAGGGCAGTGGAAGCACTGACTCTCTTTTACTGACTTACTCTTTACCCCGTGTGGGTGCCTGCCCCTTGGCAAGGAAGGATGCGGCGCCAGCTGCAGACACTTGTCCAAAGGAAGTTTAAAGTCCTCCTCCTCCTGCTGCTGCTCCTGGCCTTTCTGCTGCATGTCACGATGGACTTGGCTCTCCCTGAGAGTCGCAGGCTCTGCAGCTGCGATGCAAAAGCACCAAAAGCCTTGGGTACCCCCACAGGCAGCCCTTTGCTGGCCAGCCTTGAAAAGCTGAGCCTACGCATCCTTCAGGACTTCAGTGGCAGCAACGGTTCCTTGGAGAAAAGCTCCCAGCCTCAGGGAGCAGGGCCACTGGGAAAAGATGGGGACGTGGGGATCCAGCACCAGCATGGAGATGTCAGCCCAGCATGGGCCAAGGGATCCAAGTTGGCTGCACTTTTTGAGCATCCCCTTTATAACATCCCGTTGCCGGAGGTGAAGGACAAAGACAAGCTGTTTGTCGTCAATCCCATGGAAAAGTTCAGCCTACGGAGCAGTGGGAGCGATGAATGGTGAGGAGTGGGCTGGTCTGGGGGGATGAGTGGAGCTTCTCGAGGGGACACATGGCAGGGAGCAAACAAATTATTTCCTTGCTTGGCTCAGCATCCCACCTGGATAGCCCCAGTGCCTCAGATCTTATCTCAGCCCCGTTTCCAGGCTGCTGCCCCGGGGAGCTGTAGGGAGCCTCCTGCCCATGTGGCACATGGTGAAGTCCAAGGGGAGGCCTGAATTATTCATACTGTTACATATAATATCTTCTAGGTCATCTCCTCCTCTCCTTACCCAGCGCTGGGCTCTCACTGTAAACTTCTAGGAACTTCCCAATGCAGACTTCTGACCAGTTTGATCCCCCTCTCACCCACCTCATGTTGAAAATGCAAAACCCCAAATGTCAGCTGGCTCTTGACACGAGACCACGGCAGTCCCGTGTTTCTCAGGGCACTTTCTGACCTCTTTAGGCTCTGCTGGGTGGTGAGCTCACCACTGCTGGGTGCCTATTTTTGTCCCTGCACTACTAACCTCTAATTAGAAAGGAAGATATTAATGGAGATACCTTGGGTAATACGCAGCAGATTCCTTATGGAAAGCACACCTTCCAGAGGTGAAAATACTAAGATGGTGGGACCAGATAACCCAAATTCATGCCACAGAGAAACCAGGGGGTGCCATGGGTCTGGCCAGGGGGAGTCAGTTACAAGTGGGAGCTCAGGATGCTGCTGGGAAGCATTCTTTTATGGATGTTTTGTGTTCCCCTTTAACTGTGCATAGCTGATTGCACACCTGGGAGCTGATCCCCTGGGGTGAGATCAGCTGGAAATTGAGGACCAGCTGGGAGACCATGGGGACTTTCTGTGGGGGACACAAAGGTGGCCATCTGCTGCCAAGGGGACCTGCCCTAGGGGCTTCTGTCACCACCCAGGCCTTGTGCCGGCTCTTCCCAGAAAGAGCCTGGGAACAAGACCCCATCCCAACTAAATGTTGTTGTTGTTGGGGTGGTGGTGGCTTTTGGGCTGCAGGGTCAGCAGCAGTAAAGCCGAGATGGTCCTCCCGACAGGGAAGACAGCCTACGACACCTACCCTGCCTGGCTCAAGTTCCACGTCGGCATCAACCGCTACGAGCTGTACCCGCGCAGGGACCCCCTGATGCCCACCCTCCTGCAGGACCTGGCCACCATGAAGATTGTCAGCTCGGGTATTCGCCCCTACCCACGCCCCTGTCCCATTGGCCTCCCCACCAGGCCCAGTCACCCTCGTGTGCCCCCTTCCAGTGCAGAAGTCTGGCGGTACCCAGCTGAAGCTCATCATGACCTTCCCGAACTACGGGCAGGCCCTCTTCAAACCCATGAAGTGAGTAGAGCTTGACTTCAGCCCCAGTGCTGGAGGCCCCTTCCCCTACTGTTGGCAGCAGGCTTGGTGCAGCTTGTGATGGGGTAGTGACCTCCAGTGGTGGGAAGGAGAAGACGATCCATGAGGACCACTTCCCAGCCCTTGTCCCAGAGGGATTTGGGGCTGCGCCGTGCAGCGGGATACACCTGTGCCTGGTCATGTCTTGATAGCACCACAGACACAGCACAAGGGGTGGTTTGCGAACAAGCAGGAGGTGATCCATGCTTTGGCCACCATCCCTGCCCTCCCCAAATCTTCTCAGGCAGAGCAGGGAACAAGAGACCCCCGCTGACTTCTTCTACTTCTCAGACTTTGAGCGGCACAATGCAGAGATTGCAGCCTTTCACCTGGACAGGTGAGTTCTCGTGTGGCCCGCACCCAAAAAAGGGCCTCAGCCCCTGGGGACTGAGGTGGAAAACCTCAGCCTTGGGTGCTTGGTGGAAAACAAGGCCAAAAATCTTCCCTCTGGGGCCTGTAGCCTCCCAGCAAACCTGACATCCAGCCCTGGCCAAGAAACGGCTCCTTCAGCCACCTCTTCCTCCTCTATTGCAAGGATGCCTGCATCTCATGGCGCTTGTACTGACTGGGTGTAAAAAAATGGCTCCACTGGCAAGAAATTGTGCTGAGTTTTGTGTTTTAGGATCCTGGATTTCCGACGAATCCCACCAGTTTCTGGTCGCTTGGTGAATATAACAAAGGAGATCCGGGACATCACAACTGACAAGAAACTGGCCAAGACTTTCTACATCTCCCCAGGTGAGCTCTTGCTAACCTTTGGCTCTCACGCAAGGGCAGGCACCCATCTAGCGATGACTCTGGCTGCCACTGCGTCCCCATCTATGGAGGTGGTTCTCAAGAAGAGTCACCATGCTATTGCTTTATGCATGTGGCATGGTGAGAAGCTTCATCTGGTTCTTGTTCAGTCATCAGCCTGTGCTTGTCCCCCATGCCAGCGGGCAACATCTGCTTCTACGGGGAGTGCTCCTACTACTGCTCCACCGAGCACGCTCTGTGCGGCAAGCCGGACCAGCTGGAGGGCTCCATGGCAGTCCTGCTGCCCGACAAAGCTCTGGCCAAGCGTCGCTCCTGGCGCAGCCCCTGGCGCCGCTCCTACCACAAGAGCAAGAAGGCTGAGTGAGCTGGGACTTGGGGGGACACAAAGGGACTCGAGGAGCACGGGAGGGCTGGCCCTGTGGTCGCTCTCATGTACCCATTGTCCATTCTTTGCATGAAGGTGGGAGCTGGACCCCAACTACTGCACCCAGGTGCGCCGGACACCGCCTTATGACAGTGGTCATCGCCTCCTTGACCTCATCGACATGGCAGTACTTGATTTCCTCATGGGTGAGAGCATCCCTCCAGTTTCTTCTCACTTTCCAGTAGCTGATGGCAAAGGCAGTGGTCAGGCTTTGCACCGTGAAGGCACTCTGCCTGCTTGTCCCCACGGCCTGGTCCCCACCTGATGGCATGTTCGGGGCTGAAGAACCGGTGGCATGTTGCATACATTGAGTCACAGAATTGAGTTGGAAAGGACCCTTAAATGTCATCTAGTCCAACTGTCCTGCAATGAATGACATGAGTGAGGCTGCTTTGCCCTGTACCACCACAATGTCGGGGTGCTTGTCTCCTGCCAAAACTCAGCGCAGGATGACATCGTGCAGGAGTTGGCATGGGGCCATGCGGGTACCCATCCCAGCACCCCACTGCTGCCACCCTCTGCTCACCCTTTCAGGCAACATGGACCGGCACCACTATGAGACCTTTGAGAAATTTGGGAACGACACCTTCTTGCTTCACCTGGACAACGGCCGCGGGTAGGAGAGAGGGGAGCACCCAACCACCTTAAATGGATAGAGCTGGGGCTGAGGGATGCCAAGAGTCAAAATGAGAGCCAATGCAGGGTGATCCTACGCACACCCCGATGCCAACCCTTGGGTTTCTCCCTCAGCTTCGGCACGCACTCTCGTGACGAGATGTCCATCCTGGCCCCGCTCCAGCAGTGCTGCAGGTAAGCGGCTCCCACCACCATGTTCCCATTGGGGAAAAACCCACCCTGATGTCAGGCTCTCTCCTCCGCATCGGCAGCATCAAGAAATCCACCTACCTGCGGCTGCGGCTGCTGGCCACCGAGCCCTACCGCCTGAGTGAGCTGATGCGGGAAGCACTGGCTGCCGACCGCCTGGCGCCCGTCCTGGCCGAGCCCCACCTGCAGGCATTGGACCGGCGCCTGGGCAAGGTGCTGGTAGCTGTGGGACGCTGCCTGGCCACGGCAGCACAGCCCCACCAGGTGCTGGTGGATGACACAGGGTCGTGGCTGTGACGTCACGGAGACGGTGACGTGGTGTGATGTCAATCATCAGCCTGGGAAGAGCTTGGAGTGCGTGGTATTGGATGATGCAAGGGGAGAAGGGCGGGTGCGCGCGTTATTTAAATAAATAGGTCGGCCTCGTGGAGAAAACATGATTTGGGATCCCGGCCAGTGGGGCTGTTTTTCCAGTCCCAGATTCACGTGGCACGGCCATCCCTCCAAATCCTTTTATAATGAGAGAAAAAAATTTTCATAGAATCACAGAATGATTGGTTATGGAAGGGACCTCAAAGCCCACCCAGTCCCACCCCGTGCTGTGGGCAGGGCTGCCAGCCCCCAGCTCAGGCTGCCCAGAGCCCCATCCAACCTGGCCTAGAACCTCCAGGGTTGGGGCACCCACAGCTCTCTGGGCAGCCTGTGCCAGTGCCTCACCGCCCTCTGAGTAATGTATTTCCACCCAAGACCTAGCCTAAATCTCCTGTCTTTTAGTTTAAAGCCATTCCCCCTCGTCCTGTGCATAAAGCTGGTCCCCTTTCTTGCAGTCAGTCCCTCTCCAGCCTTTCCCCAGCCCACAGTTAATGGGGCCTTTGGTGAGCTTTCACGTGGTTCACCCAACCTGCAACGCTCATCCCTGCCCACGCTCTTCCCACACCCACCCAAAAATCCCAGCGGGCGCCGCGTCCCTCCCGCAGAGGTGGCTCTGGGATCCACACCGGGCCCAGCACCATATATAGTGCCCGGCTCCCGGCTTATCCACTAATCCTGGCCGGGGTTAATCTGCGGTGGGTCTGCGTCAGCCGGGACAGGTGCTGTGGGACGGGGGCTTCGTGCCCCATGCTGGGGATGAGTGGTGGGGATGGGTCTCTGGGGTGGCGGCGGGGGCACGAGGTGTCCCCAGGACACGGTGCAGAAAGCAGCAAATTGGGCGAATTGGTCGCTAATGAGCTATGGGGAAGGGGGGGAAGGCAGCGGCTAATGGGGCCTGGGAACGGCAAGGGGAGATCGGGGCTAGAATTAATGGGCTGGAAGGAGAGGGGGGGGTGGAAAAAAAAAAAAACAACAAAGAAACAAGGGACAAAAAACCCAAGAACTTGGAGAAAAAGGGGGAGAGAGGGGGGGAGAAAAGAAATAGCAGACAAAGGCGCGCTATGCGCGCCTCACACGGGGACGCTCCGAGCGCAGCGCTGCGCCTCGCGGGACCCCCCAGCCCCCCCTCCCGGAGCTGCCGGGGCGGAGCATTGGGGCTGGGCGGGAGCCGGGAGGGGGAGGGGGGAGACAAGGGGGAGGAGGAGGAGCGGGGGGGCCGCGTCTTGCAAAACAAAAGGGAGAGGAGCGGCGCGGGGAGCGGGCGGCTGCGAGGCTGTCCTCGGCCGTGAGGTGAGTGCTGGGGGAGGGATGGGGAGGGATGGGGAGGGGTCCTGGGTTTGGTGGGGTGGGGTCTGGGGGGCTCTGGGAGTGAAGAGGTCTTGGGGCACGGGGGGTACTGGGTGGGGTGGGAGGAGTCCGCTCGTGTCTCGGTCGTGGGGCTGCCTGGACCAGCGTGGGGGGGGCATAAAGGGACAGCGCAGCTGTCACTGCCCCGTGAGCAGGTGCTCCTGGGTGCGCTCGGGTTGGCTTCGTGCGTCCCTCGGCACGGGGGTACTTAGGGGTGTCCCCGAGCGTGGCTGCTCCCCTCTCCCCCCCCATAACACTGTTCCCCCCCGTGTGCCCCCCAGGTGAGCCACTGTCCCCCCGCCATGTCGCGCCGCAGCCAGCGCCTCGTCACCTCGCGCCTCTATCCAGAGGATGAGGACGGCACCAGCTCCCTGCTGGGCGGCCCGCAGCTGCCCTTCAAGGAGAGCACCGCCAGGTTGGGGGGTACCGTAGAGACGTGGGAGGGGGGGGGAAGGGGGCTGGTTCAGGCTTTTGGCACCCAGCAGCTTTGGGCCCGATGGCGGGAGGGAGGGAAGCGCTGCGAGCGCCGTGCCGGAAAACCGCAGCGGTGTAAGCGGAAGCGGGGCCGGGGGCTCCCCACCTTTCGGGCTTTCGCAAAGCGGCGGTTGCGCCGTGCCGAGCATCCTCCCAGCCCTGCAGCGCTCCCGGTGCCGGCATCGTAGCCTTGCCTCCGCTATGTGACGCCGATCGGCTGGTTCTCATCCCGGCAGGACGGCGGCGAGGAGGAAATCAAGCGGCACCAAGCGGCTGTCGCCCGGCCCCAGCACTCAGACCTCCTATTACAGCGAGTCCTTGGTGAGCGAGTCCTACCTGGGGGGCAGCCGGGGTCTGGCCGTGCTGGATGATGCTCTGGATGGCAGCACTTACTGGGGTGAGCCTGTCCTCCTGTGATGTCTGTCACCTCAACCCTTGGGGCATCCCAGTTGTTTCAGAGTGGCTGTTTTCTGAGCTGTTTCTATGGGATTTTTTGGGGTGGGTAAGCAGGCAGGGAGCTCTCCACCAGGAGGAGAAGGGATACAGGGGACACGGAGTCCAGCAAAGTCAACGGGCTGCTGGAGAGCCGAACTTATGACACCTACGCCTCCTCCTCAGGGTACTCCTCAGAAGACGACTATGCAGGTAGGAATGCGGTGGTGGGATGCTGGGGATCACAGAGTCCCAGCCCTTATATCAAACCCAGGGATGTGGGTTCCATTCCAACTCTTGTTGCCTCTCCTCATGTAGAATCCCAGAATCATTAAGGTTGGGGACCTTAATGGGGTCCCCATAAGGGGGAAACTTCTAGGATTATCTAGTCAACCATCAGCCCATCCCCACCATCCCACGTCCCTCAGTGCCACATCCACACGGTTCTGGAACGCCTGTAGGGATGGTGACTGCACCACCTCCCTGGGCAGCCTGTGCAGCTGCAGCACCACTTTTTCTGAGAATAATTTTTTCCTTATATCCAACCTGAACCTCCCAAGGCGCAACTCAAAACTGTTACCTCTTGTCCCTATCTCCCTCCAGGACAGCTCTACTCTGCCCACAGCAGCTCGGGGTCAGGGCTGAGGACGGCCGCCTCCAGGGTTGGCTCCTTCCTGTGGCGGGTGTTCACTGCACCAGGTGAGTGAGGGCCTGAGGGGGAAGGGGTTTTTCTCCTCTGCACACTTGTCCCGTGCCTGTGTGGAGGTTTGTTGTCCTACAGGGCTGCTTTACTCTCATGCCAACTTGCTGTTGACCATGTAGCAGTTGGTTTCTTCCACATCTTGCAAATCTGAGGCAGGGAGAGAAGGGGATGCTGCATGCATGGATTGTCTTCCTCCAGAGAGCAGCCCTGGAGGCAGAGGGGATGTCCTGGGGTTCCTCTGATCCTGCTTGTCCTCCCCCAGCCCGATTTGTAGGATGGCTCCTGTCCTGTGTAGCCACCGCCTGGCACCATGTCACTGGAAGGGCTCCCCAGCTACAGCGTGTTCCCCTGTCCAGGTGAGTGGGATCCCAGCCCCAGAAGTATCCCACCACTGCAGGACACAGCCCGTAGCCTCTTTCTTCCCCACTCTGCAGGCGCTACCCACGGCTGAAGAAGTCCCTGTGGTTGCTGCTGCTCCTCTTGCTCCTTGCTGCAGTTGCTTATGGTAAGCCCACTGTCCCTTCATCCCACCGTGATATGAGGCTGGAGAGCCATTGTCCCCGTGCTGGGATGGCAGTGAGCTCAGTGCTTGTGGCTCCTGTCCCCCATCACCATTTGACTGTTGAACCATCTCGTCCCCTGCATGCCCAGGAGCGTGGTACCTGTACCCGTATGGCCTGTCAGCTCGCAGCCTCCCCATCTTCTCATGGTGGGGAGCGGGACGCTTCTCCTCCTCAGATGTGCCCGGGGCACGGGACATGACTGCACTGGACCAGGTACAAGCTGGTTGCCTTTGGGGCGGAATGGCTGGGGCCGGTCACCCAAGGAAGCTCTGTGCCCATGGGTGCAGCCCCTAAAGTTTGGTACGTCCCAAAGATGGAGGGAGGGGAAGCAGTAACGGGGCACAGCCACTCATGTAGACCCGCAAGGCGCCCGGGGGCTGCATGGCATTCTCCTTCCCATCACAGGGGCTGCGAGGAGAGCAGCAGCTCCTGGCCCGTTTCCAGGCTCTGGAGAAGCGTTTTGAGGCACTGGAGGCTGCGGTGTCACGCTGGGAGCTGGGGGTGGCCGGGGGTGAACCCCCACCGACGGGAGACGTGCTGGGCCTGTTGGAGGGGCTGTTAGACCGCCGCCAGGCCGGCATGGAGGAGCGGCTGCGCAGTGACATGACCGAACACCTCCAGGTGAGGGGAGCAGGGTGGTGCAGGCATGGGGATGTGATGGGATGGGTTGTGATGTCTCCATCTCATCCTTGTCCCGCAGGGTGAGCTGGACGCCCTGCGGACGCAGCTGCAGGCTGATGTGGATAAACGTCTGGGGAAGATGGCGCAGGCCTCGCAGGTGAGTGATGTGCACCCTGTGGGGGTCCTTGGGGCTGGTGGGCAGCATTCATGTGGACTCTTGTGCCTTTGTGCTGGCAGGAGATGGAGGCCCGTCTGCAGGAGCTGAATGCAGAGTGGCAGAGGTATTGTTGCTCAGTGTGGGGGGAAACCCCACTGTTTAGGGTGGGGTAGATCTCAGCCTGGCATTTTGGGGCATTTGGTGGTGCTTGGTGGCATTTCTCTCATTGTGCTGGTGGCACAGGTCTGTGCAGGAGGAGCTGCAGGGCCGCTGGCAGCGGGCAACAGGTGAGCTGCAGCAGGAGGTGTCAGCACTGAGGAGGGAGCTGGCAGGGCTGCGCTCAGACCAGGAGGCTGTGAGCAAGCACCTGGAGGCTGTGCTGGAGCAGATCAAAGCAACACGGGCTGATGTAAGTCCAGGACGTCCCCCCTTTTAGAGACCCTCACCCCCCACCCAGTGCTCTATTTGAGGCAGAGGTGAGGGTCTCTGCCCCACAGCTGAGCCCTGTGCCACACTTCCAGGTGGAAGCACAGATGCCAGCATGGATCAGCCACTTCTTGGCACAGTCCCGGCAGGACGACGGCACAGCTGGGCTGCTGCTCCAGCGGGAGGACTTACAGGCAGAGCTGCGCGCCCTGGAGCTCCGGATCCTTGCCCAAATGCGGGAGGAGCGTGGGCTGGCAGCACGGGACAGCATTGGTGTGGCCCTGCGGCAGGGGGGAACCGGGGGGGTGACAGAAGAGGTGAGTGATGGCCGAGCACTGGG